TAGAGTGTTAAAAGCAAAGCTGTATAGAAATAAGAGGAAACTTGACAGACTACAAACAAAGGTTAGCAGAAATTAGTAAGATTAAACTTACAGTAGTGTCATAAGTGACACTGTGAACATACATGTGGCTATTGATAAACAATTTCTGATTTGTCATTTCCTGCAGACGAGAAATATTAAAACTAACACTTTTTTAATGTATTGATTGAGTTTTTCTTCTTTTATAATATTCATTACCCCCTTTATCTTTGAGGTGCTGAAAAAATAATAAATGATAATTTTTTGCCTTTGCAGTTGCAATTGGGGAACACTGATACCAGTGCGCGAACAAGACCCCCAACTATTTTGGTGGATGGGAAATCAAAGATGCCACCAAGAACAGCTGCGAAAAGACGACATGAAACACTGACACATGCTTCTGCAATCCATAGCGGATCTAAAAGTAACCCAGATTCAGCCTTTGATGGGATGTTTGACACACTAGCTAAACGATGTAAAGTAGATAAAATGAAAGATTATGTTCTGGGTCAGAAAACATTAAAAGAGAAAGTAGCCTCAGCTACGTTTAAAAAAAATGTGAACGCTTTTGAAAGCTCTGCAGAAAATGCAAAAAGAAGCATTGCAGTTTTCTATAGTAGTGGTGTAATGGGAAAGCGGAAATATAAATCTGTTCGAATTTCATTATCAATGAAGACAAATGAAACTACCAAGGGAAGATCAGCTATAATTGTTATGCCCAATTCCAAAATTATTGCCATATGACAAGCTTGTGAAAGAAATAAACCAAATTGACATTGGAAATGTGTACAGGTTAGATGAAGAGTTTCAAGGGGCAATCGGAGATGAACTTACTCAAGGTTGTTTTCGAAAGTTAGTTGAGTACTTGCCACGCCTGGCAAAATTCTACCTTAGAAAAGATAGAAAGGAAGCCCTTCAGTGGTTTGGCAAAACTGAAGAGAGGAACAGAGCCCAAAAGTCTGCTGCCATACGCCTTTGGAGATCTAGAGGCCAACTGAGTATCCAAGAAGAAAACAGCAAAGAGGTTCTTTTCTACAGAAATCTTCGAGTATTAAGGAGCTCAGAAGTTAATCACGTTGTTGCAGACGAGTTCCATTGCACAAAGGGATCTGGAGCTACAATGATTGTCTGCTCTTTAAAAGAACATGTCGTCGGTCTTAGTAAAAACCGTGTGCAGGACATTTTGAACAAGGACAAAAGGACAAACTGCATTACCGCAGAAATGCTAGATGTCTAAACAAAGCAATCCTTAAGCCGATCCGAGCGTGAGATGTGCAAGTCAGACATCAAGTGGATCTAATGGATCTTGGAAAGCGTGGAAGTGTTGAATTTAAAGGAATTGTTTATCGATATGTACTGTCCATTACGGATGTTTTTAGTCGGTTCATTTGGCTTAGACCTCTTGCAAGGAAAACTAGCAAAGCGGTTGCGGCTGAGTTAAAGGCTACCATCCTCAGTCGCAAGGAAATATAGAAAGAAGTCATCGCGCTCTATGTTCCAAGATTGAATATGAGTTTTTAAAAATGGGGAAAAAAGGTCTAAATTGGGCGAAAGCACTACCTGAGTACCAGAAAATTTTAAACGAGGAACCCAAAGAAGTTTTAAGGTACAAATCTCCATTTGAAGTATATTTTGCACGCAAACCTAGTTCCCATACTAACTGAGCTATGGAAAGTAAAGATTTAGTAAGTGAAGAGTTGGTAACAAATGCTGGCAGATGCAATCCAGCCTGCAAGGATAGAAAACGTTGTTGCTGAAGAGCTCAAGATGTCCGAAAAGCGGCTCATGCCACGACTGAACGTTGCCATCAAAGAATGGTTAAGACGCACTTAAAATCAAATCCTCCCTCAAGATACAGAATAGGTGAGGAAGTTCACGTCCGACTCAGTAAAAAGGGCAAAACTTCAAGAAAACAACAAGCAATAGAAGCTGTCGTAGAAGAAAGAAATCTAAAAAAGCAGTCATACAAAGTCTCGTTTAGGTCGCTGTCATCTGGAAGGCATGAACGACGGTAGTTCAGTGTTGTGGACATCACAAGCCTGACTCTGAGAGAAGAAAACCTAAAGCAAAAAGCGGCAAGAATTGAAAAAGAAAAAAGTAAATTGCACAGGGAAAAATTTCTTGTTCCAATGGGAAGTGACGACTACCTTAAGATAATAGAAGATCAAGGACTTAAATTAGTATACAATCCCCCAGGGAATGGAAACTGCCAGTTTGCAGCTTTTGCATATCATCTTAGTTCACTGGGAATCTTAAGGTCGCCAGAAACCAAATATCTGGAAACAAATCCACTAGATGAAGATGGTTTTCCGTTGTACGAATGGGTTCCATACTTTGATTCATGGCCACAGTATTTTACCCACATGGCACAAGGCCCCACCTACGGCGACCAACTGACGTTATACACTGCAGCTAACCTTTATGACGTTAACATTCACATAATATCATAGCTTGGTGCTGGTGCTAGCCATGTGTTTCATCCTGGCCAAAATGTTCCAGCAACAACACTTTTCATTGGACATTTTGCGGAAAACCATGGTGAACACTACATCGCACTCAACGGTCTGACCCAAGAAGGAAATATTGTCGTTGACGTACTTGTTGAGAGCGTTGCTAATCATGAAGAGAAAAATCATACCAAGTGTCATACTAATAATGGAGATCGGAAAGAAGGAGAAGATGATGATGGTCAAATGGAATACAAACAAAATAACGTTGGTGATGATCAGAGAGAAACAGAAGAAGAAGAAGAAGAGGAGGAGGAGGAAGAAGAAGAAGAAGAGGAAGAAGAGGAAGAAGAAGAAAATGATGATTGTGATTATGATGATAATGGTGGCGGTGATGATAATAGTGGTCAAACCAGTCAACTTCCAAATGAAATACTCGACAAAATAATAGACTTCGCATTAACTGGAACTGACATAAGTATTATTATCACCTATAATTCCCTTTGCCAGCTTGGTGAACCCTTTAAAGAACTCACAATGCGTTATATTTGTCGGCTGCCACGAATAAGTTACAACCATCGCAACACTGCACGAAATGGCTGTTTCAGCTTGCGCAAGTTATGCAAAGATTTTGGCTCATACAGAGGACTTGTGCTGGCTCTTAAAGAGATAATAGCCAACCCCAGATGGATAAATGCGTGGCTTGAGCTGTTGTTTGCTGGGGTTGGGACTTGGTTTTATGTTGCCAATGTATGGTGGAAAGGATGAAGAAGCAATTAAAGTACACTTACTTGCACCCATTTGTTAACAAAGTAAAAACATTTTAGCTGAGGTTGTGTTATTGATTCAGATTAGAAATCATGGTGGCACTGCAGGCTGCAATTCTGACATTTTTGGGCTTTGCCTATATGAGGCAGGTTTTTCAGTTCAAAAGATACGTCAGTCCTTTTTTGATATTAAAGAGTTCGTAAAAAAATTACTTCATATCATTGACCTCTGTTCTCAAGTTGTCGTTAAAGAAGTATTATTGATAACAATTCTAACTATTAAAACCTATTTATCATTAATCACTATTCGGTCAAAGGATTATTTAGAATTCATTTCGATTAAACATTCTTTTCAGTTAATAATAACAATAATAATAATAAGTTGTTACTCAAATGGCTATATAGGGGATCTACCTGGGGTATTTAGTGTTTGATACTTCCCTAGACACATTCTGGCGCTCAGTTAACCTGGAATAAGGCTAAAATCCAACACTATGAAGTCGTCTTATGACCCTAAGCACATAAAGAGCTGAAAGAATTACACTTAGGACCTTTATTACATTTAGAGCCAAAAGTTATTACACTTAGGACCTTTATTACATTTAGGGCCAAAAGTTATTACACCTAGGACCTTTATTACATTTAGGGCCAAAAGTTATTGCACTTAGGATCTTTATTACATTTAGGGTCATTTATTACATTTGAGGCCTCAACAGCACAACAGGACACAAAGTCCCTTACTAAGATTTGATCAAGACAGCTGAAATTCAGGCTAACATTAAACCTGTTACAGCACAATTTAGTTTATACATTTATAGTTATGGGTCAGCCAATTCCAAGTGTGGTCATCACCCCTCCCCGCGGCATTTCTCATCTTTTCCTCAGAAAGCTGCAAAAGCCCCACAGTGGGGCCAGCAAATTTTTAGAAAACCTCACCACGAGGGTTAAAAATATGTCAACAATGTCCCACAATATACTATTTGGAAAGTCTCACAAATTTTACTTTTAAATAAAGTTTACAAAAAAGCTTCCCTTTTTAAAAATTGCAGAAAATATGAAAATCAGTAATAACAAAAGTCCTGCTCCCGGGCGGACTATTGATGACAAATGCCCCACTGTGGGAAAACCGGACTTGATGAATGCCCGGAAGGGAAGATCACGCTTGGAATTGACTGAGCCATCAGGGCAATAAATTGTACTTTTCATGGCTCATAATGAGAATTTTTTAACAAAAAGTTTTTGAAACAGACATTTAACCTGTTTAAGCACAACTTACTGAACACAGTACTGTTTATGATAACACAGTTGATGTAGGCTTATAATGAGCAGTTGTTAAAAAGTGTTATATTAAATGTTTTTAACTCTCAAAAGTGTAACCAAACTCGTTTAAATATTGATAGTGGCTTCATCAGCACATATGACTCCCTTTTGAAGTAAGATATGGTAAAGGGTTTTGAAGCTGTTACAATAACTCTCGGCTTCTCCTTTCCTGGCTCCTTTCCATTGCTTTGAAAAATATCCCATAACTGCATTTCGGGAAACGTCGCAAAGTCAGAGTCAAGATATTAGGAGAGTTTTATTCATAGGGTTAACGTCTAGACTCTCCCTTTCAAATTCATGTAGTTATTATGAGTTTGAATAAACATGTATGTTATGTTCTGTTACAAATCTCTGATGAGTCTATTCTCTTCAGTGTACACAATACAATCTGACCTATGGCTTTCTGAGTGGGTCACCCCTTAGCTCGACCGTGCTTTCTTTATCATCT